ATATGTAGAGGAAGAGTCCTTCCTACAAACAGGGAACAGAGAAGCACACATCCCAGATGTGCTTGCCACTGAGGCCACTGAAGCAGCGTGAGGCTGAAGTGAGTGAGCAGCAGGAGAGGAGGTCAGAGCAGTAGCGGGCCAGCTCCAAGGCCATGTGAAGATTCCCACCTTTACCCTGAACAAGAAGGGCACCGTGGGTAGGCAGAGGGGTAAGGGCAGTGAGGACATTACTCAGGAAGGGTGATCCTGGAGCAGGAGAGCCCGTGAAGAGTCCACTGCCGAGCTTCCAGGGAGGGGAGCTAAAGACCATCAGCACCAGCATCCTAGAAATATTCCTGAATACAGTGGTTTCAGGATTGCCTAGGGCTTGTTTACCCTGCATCTTTAGGCAGTGTCTGCTGCCCTCTGGTGGATGTGCTAGAGATGACCCAAACCCACTTCCAGCTTTGCTTGGCTTTTGCCAGCAGTCTGTGGGGCCTGTGGGTTCACCTTTAACTTGTAGCTATAAAAACTCTCTTGTCACAGATCTGATGGATATGACTGTGGAGGTGTCAGGAAGCACTTTGTGGAAACATTTCATCAGCTTAGACAAAGGAAGGCTAAGGGAAACTGTGGTGTGGATGCTACAGTATTTGGAGTGGGGCTGGGGCAGGGCCAGGGATGTTTCCTACCAGTGATGATCAGAAGCAGGGAGGTGGGGCTGAAAGAGGCATCTAGGGCTGGAGACTGTAGAGCAGGCACTTGTTCCCAGGAGGAGAACAAGGTGAAAACACTGAGGGTGCTTGCCAGAGGCTCTGAGTTCCAGGGCAGTCATGGGATCATGTTGGGAAGGGAAGGGAATGGGGCTGGGAAGTCCCAACTCACAGAAGGGAAGTGGACACTTGAAGGCCTGTAGATCAAAACAGAGCTGGAGATCTGATGGAGAGAGAGTGAGAAAACTACAGACAAAGGGGGAGCAATGGAAGCCATGGATCCACTGGAAGGAAGCATTGCTGTGGGCTTGGCTGCTGCTGGAATGCAGGCACCTGCACTCCCACTGCTCCTGACACTCCCCACCACTGATACAGCCCACAGTCACCCACACTGAGGGTGCCACAAGGAGGGTGGGAGGGAGGAAGGAAGGAAGCAGGAAAGAAGAAAGAAAGAAAAAGAAAAGATGACATATATAAATACATGCAACAACAACTTGAAAGACATTGGACATCAGGCAACAAAGGACAGTGATCCTGGAGAAATGGACATAGAACCAGGTGAGCCATGTGATTGTCCAAGCTGGCTGTCTTGTTTCCAGACAGGGAGGAGGAACTACAGTGTAATACTCCCTGAGTTGAAAAGTTGGAGCTAAGAGCCTGGGGAGACCCAGGCTGCCTGAGTTCATAGATAGGACAGAGTGCCAGCAAGAGAGAGTTGCACAGAGAAAGATCCTTGAGACCTGCAGAGAGTCATCCTCAAGTATTCAGCATGTGACGGAACGCCCGTGGCTGGGGAAAGAAGCATCACAAAGAATAAGAAGACTAACTGCACTAGAAATAGAAGGGAATTTCCTCAACCTGATACAGGGCATCCATGAAAAACCCACAGTTAACACCATACTCAGAAGTGAAAGATTGGATGTTTTCCCACTAACAGCAGGAATAAAACAAGGATGTCTGCCTTCACCTCCCCTATTCCACAGCTTACTGGAGGTTCTGATTAGGGAATTTAGGCAAGAAAATTAAATAAGAGGGATCCAGATTGGAAAGGAAGAAGTAAACATCTCTGTTTGTAGATGACAAGATCTTATACATAGAAAATCCTAAAGAACCCACTAAAAAAAACCTAGAATAAACAATTTCAGCAAGGTTGCAGGATACCAGCTAAATATACATAATCAATTGTATTTTTACACATTTCCAATGAACGACATGAAAAATGAAGAAAAATTTCATTCACAATAGCATACCAAAGAAAAGATGGCAGTAAATTTAACAAAAATACAAAATTTATATTTGGAAAGCTACAAAACATCATTGAAGAAAATTAAAGATCTAAGTAGATATAAAAATTTCCAATGTTCATGAATTAGAAAACCTAACATTGTTAAGATGGCAATACTCTTCAAAGTCATCTATAGATTCAATAAGTTCATATCACAATTCCAGCTAAAGGGATCCTTACCTTACACCATGTACAAAAATGAACTCAAAACAGATCAATGATGTAAGTGTAAGAGCTAAACCTAAAAAATTCTTAGAAGACAACACAAGGGTAAACTTTCATGACCTTGATTTTGCAATGGATTCTTCAATGACACCAAAAGCCCACGTGAACATAGGGGGAAAAAAAGAAGATAAATCAGATATTATCAAAGCTGAAATCCTTTTTGCTTCAAAGGATACTATCAAGAAAGTGAAAAGACAGCCCACTGTTACAGAGAAATATATACACTCATTCCTTCAAAATGTGCACTTACCATATGCCTGGCAATCTTTTAGGCACTGAGGAAATGAGAGTGAAAACAAGAGACAAAAATCCCAGCCCTTCTGCCGTCTGGTGTGAAGATTCAGATAAGGACATTAACCTGTCCAGCTGCTCATCCTTAGCACAGATAAAACCAGCTGTGACCAGAAACAGTATTTCTCTCAAGAAATACCGCAGCTATAGCTATGGTCTGACTGTATCCCATTTCTCTGAGTGACTCCTGCTTTCTTACTGAGAAACTGTTTTCTAAAGTTGAAACTTGCCTGTTTGAAATCATGTCAATTCCTTCCAGGCAACAACCATCAGAAATGTATCTATTGTTGAAAAGTTGGGTTTGCTATTCATTGCTGTGACAGAGAACGCATATCATGGGAAACCATGGGGGGTTATGACTAAGAGTATTAGAACATAATTATAGGATTTGGGCTTGTTAGGTGATTGGGAGGAAGGTTTGGGATTGGATGCTATCAGAAAGTGGGGATAATTCTATGACTGAGCACCTTAAAAGATGTCATCTACAGGGAGGCCAACTAGAGTGAGGCTAAAGCTGGGACTGGTAAAGAAACCATTGTCCTCAGGTCAGGGAGAGGATGTCTAGTAGCCTGTGACTTCGACAATGTTCATGTTTTGTGTTCAACGTAACTACGAGTGGAAGTGAACTAGTTTTTCTTGACCCATCACAATCAGTCTGACGATGTTTTGTGAAATTGTTTATGCTCAACAGGACAACATCAAGAACCAGCTGGTAGCTAGGAGCTGCTTTTCTCTTTCTTATATATCAGTAAGTATAGAACATTCTGTTCTTGTGGAAGATCTAAGTAATTTTGACACAGAGAAGCAGCCTTGATTTCCAGCCCAGGTGGGGAGTTTCAGATAAGTGACTATATACATCTATTTTTTTATTATTATTTTTTAATTTTTTAAAATGTTTTATTTATTTCTAGGAGAGAGAGACAGCGTGAGCAGGGGAGGGTCAGAGAGAGAGGGAGTCACAGACTCTGAAACAGGCTCCAGCCTCTGAGCTGGCAGTCAGCACAGAGCCCGACGCGGGGCTCGAACCCACGAACCGCGAGATCATGACCTAAGCGAAAGTCGGACGCTTTACCGACTAAACCACCCAGGCGCCCCCCTTTTTTTTTTAAGTTTATTTTGAGAGAGAGAGGCAGAGAGAGAGAGAGGAAGAGAGAGAATCCTAAGCAGGCTTCAGGCTGTTAGAGTAGACCCCGATGTGGGGCTTGATTTCATGAACTGTGAGATTACCTGAGCAGAAATCAAGAGTTGAACACTTAACTGAGCCACCCAGGCACCCCCATACACCTATCTTAAAAAAAAAAACCCACACCTTTTAAAAATTGAAGTATATACAATGTTATAATCGTTTTATTATTATTTATACTATTTTTATATAAAAAGTTTATTATATGATGATTCAACAATTTAATACATTTCTCACTGCTCATCAAGGTAAGTGTATTCTTAATTCCCTTTATCTATTTCACCCATCCCCCCACCCCATTCTATAGAATGGTATGCACTGGAAATCTTGGTCTACTTTACAGTCCAGGCCAGATAGTGACCCCTTTACACACAGCTGTGCTCTGCTTCCAGCTTATCAACAAAACACTAATTCATTTAAACCTTATCTGAATTACATCCTTCCCCAAATCCTAAAATAACTCCTTTTCCTTTGCTTGGTGACAGGCCCCAGGATTCCACTGGTATGCTACCTCCCTCATTGCAGTGAGTCAGTACACTGGATTTTGTCGAATTACAGGCCTGTCCCTGGTGATCTGAGGCTGGCTGGGCTACAACAGAACTATACTTAGCAAACTCGATATAAATGCTATGAAAAAAATAAGAGCAGGGGGAAAGGGTAAGAAGTATTGGGGAAAGGGCAGTTTGCAATTTTAACAAGATGGTCAGAGAAGGCCTCGAAGATAGTGACATCTGAGCAAAAGAAATAAGTGGAGGATTTTTTTAATCGTCTCAACATCTGGGGAAACAGCAATCCAGGAAAGAGGAACAGTTGGTGCAAAAGTCCCGGGCAAGAGCATGGGTGTGTTCCAATCATATTTTCATAGTGAGCCCATCCTACAACCTCTTTAATTATAAAAGCTACCCCTACCCTACCGGTACTCCCTCATTCTGCTTTTGCTTTTTTCCAAGAACTTTCCAATATACAAGTCTGCGTTCATTGCCTTTGTTTTCTGCTTTGCGAGCAAGGGGAGGCGTCCTCACTCATCTATATAGCCCTAGTGTCGAGCGGTGGGGGACACACAGCAGGTATTCGACAGACATGTGTGGAGCAAAGCCCAGTGTTGGGGAGAGAGCGAGGCCAAGGAAAGGAGCAAAGCACCCCTCAGACCCTTATGACCAACGTCGCAACACGCGTACACTCCACCACCCCGGCAGGATGCCCGCCCTCGCGCATGCGCCGGCCGCGGCCCAGGTCCAGGCGCCCGCCTGATTGGCTGCGGCGGTGCCTCGGAGCGGCGTTGCGCGTGCGCGCTTTCTTCGCGCGGACTCGAGTGGTGTGTAGCTCTCCGTACAGGAGCAGTCCAGCTCCCTGTCCGGGAAGGCTCGTCCCCCGTAGCTCGGAATGTTCCCGGAACTCAATAACCTTCTCAACACCACTCCTGACAGGGCGGAGCAGGTAAGACGTCGCGCAGTGGGAAGGTGGCGGGTCCCGGAACGTGGCGGAAGACCTCATCCCCGGGTGAACCGCACGCAGACTTGTGGGCACCGGGGCGCTTGGGAGTTGTAGTCCAGGGGTGGCCGACTCGGAGACTGGGCTGCCCGCTGGGGCCTGCGGAAGCTGGGGGTCTTTTCAAAGGCCGTGTGTACTTTGGAAAACGCCCAGGAAGCTTGGCCGACTGTGCGTCGGCTTGCGTTCACAGACGTGTGCCGGGGGGCCCTGTGCGTTCTCACTGGGGTGGGGGACCCGGTGTCAGAGGAGGTTGCCTGAGAATCGTGAGTTCGATTCTCCTCCCTTCACTTGAGAACAGCTTCTTAACGCCCTCAGCCTCTCTCTGGCCCCTCAGTGCTCCGCAGTGAACGCTGCCCCTCCTTTACCTTTTACCCTTCTTGGTCTTTAATAATGCTATCCCAAGCCGCTCTCAGCCTACTTGGGCTTGTATCAAGTCTGCCTGAGGCATAGCAGCCTCGCCACTCTTCTCTCCCCCTTCTTCCCGCACTTTGGGGCATCTCGAAACTTTTGACATTTTGACCCTGGGGTTACTTCTTTCAGGAACGTACCTGGTTTATTTTATAACCTTTGTCTTCCTAAAGAAATGGTAAACTCCAGACAGCCAAGACACCATGTATCAGACTTGCTTGCTTATTTATATTTATGAAAAAATGTAAATGTTTATTTATTTTAGAGAAAGAGCTAGAGTGTGAGTGGGGGGATGGGCGGGGCGGGGGGGGGGCGGTGAGGGGAGGGACCGAAGAATCCTAAGCAGGCTCCAGGCTCTGAGCTATCAAAACAGAGAAGATGCGGGGCTCAAACTCACAGACGGGTAGATGGTGACCTGAGCTGACATTGGATGCTTAACCCACTGAGCCACCCAGGCGGCCCTCAATCAGGCCTTTTTATGACCCCACAGTGTCAGGCAAATTATAGTTTTCAGTAGACCCTTGTGGGTTTCAGTTGCTCAAGCCTGAAGATATCACTGGGGGCCTTGTTAATTACTAGTGGGACCACCAAAATGCTTAGCCCAAGGCCAGAGTGAAGGAATGGATGGTCAAAGTGGGCACCAGGAAATTACAGCGCTGAAGGTAACCCTCAAGGTCTGATAGTGCAGTCTTTCATATTTTATAAGTGAAAAAAGTCACAACAGCACAGAAGTGTTGTGTCTGATACCGCTTGATTGCGACCTTCCCTATCACTGACAAGGAACTAGAGGTGGCTAGAGCAAGATAGCCAGCCACTGTGGAGACCACCTTTAGAGGTCTTTCCAGAACCCTCCATGATCAAAGCTCTTTCAGAAGCAGTGTCCAGTGCCATTGGGATGAGAATTTTGTTACTGGAGTTCTCTGTCAACAACTACTCTTCCCTCTCTTCCACTCTATTGGACAGATTTGGTATCAGAATTAAAAATAGGGAGGCACGTGGGTGGCTCATTTGGTTAAGCCTGCCACTCTTGATTTTGGCTCAGGTCACAATCTCACCAATAGTGAGTTCAAGCCCCTCATTGAGCTCAGTGCTGATAGCTCCAAAGCCTGCTTGGGATTCCTTCTCTCTTCCTCTCTCTGCCCCTCCACTGCTCGTGCTTGCTTTTTCTCTCTCAAAAAGAAATAAACTTTAAAAAAAAAATAGGAAGGACATTGGTCTTAGCAGGCTGTGATTTTTGTTGTATTCTAACGGTAAAAGCTTCTTTTGTTCAGGATCTAGATCTCCTCCAGACTGGTCCCTGAGTTACCAAGGCGAATGAGACAGAGGAGGGATTTTATTCTCTCTTTGCCTTGGTAAAGTGGAAGCTGAGATATGCTGGTCCATGAGTGACTTTATTAACAATCACTTTAATTGTCGGTTTTGCCACAGTTTTGACTTTTTTTCTTTCTGGTTGTGTGTGTGTGTGTGTGTGTGGATACTGACCTCTTTCTAGGGAGTCTAATTCACCTTTTTGTGTTCCTCTTAACTTGTAGGGGAAACTGACTCTGCTCTGTGATGCCAACACAGATGGCAGCTTCCTTGTGCATCACTTTCTCTCCTTCTACCTCAAAGGTATTGGACTCGATGCAATAGAAAAAGAAACCTAAGGCTAAAAGCAATGGGAATAGTATTAACTAACTAGGTCTTTGGTATTTGGGTAGCCAAATGGCTGTTTATTAGGTAACAGGTTACTTGACTGTCTTGTTCCCTGCTCATCCCTGCCCAAGGGTGGTTGGTATATGCTCTCTATCCATGTCCTATCTTCTCCACCCAGTGTGCAGGCACGATCTCACTGAGATCCTCGTGTGGATTCTGATTTAGTTGCTCCTCAGTCCTTGTGTATCTTGAGGTCTTTGAGCCCGGGACTCATTGACATGTTGCCCTGGCAGTAGATGCTTCCTGAAGAACATAGGAAAACTGCAGGGCCACTGCAATTTACATATGAAAATAGATTAGAAGAAGAAAATAGCCAAATGAAAAAAAAGTCTCATTTATCAATCTCCTTGACCCCTACTGAGCCAGGCCAGGATAGAGGGTAGACCTTTGGCACTCTTAGTCATAATCATTTACAGCTTTGAGAGTTTTTTCTTTTCCAGATGATGTTATTGTCAGCATTGAAAGAACGAGAGAATCTAGAGATAAAAACTTATGTTCAGTAAGGTAGCTAGAGCTTCTTTGTGTTCCCCTTATAACTTCTTGGATACAATACCAGTTTAAAAAAAAATCAGTTGTTAAAAAAAGTTGTATTTCTGTACAAACAGAAAAATGTTATTTTTTTAAAACCACAGTTTATTTACAATAGAACAAAACTAAGTACCTAGTAGTACACATAACTGAAGAAGTACATCTCAGGATCAATGAAATAGATAAAATTATTGTATATGAAAAAAAGCACATCTTAGAATCAAATTGGGGATGTCAGGTTGCAAGACCTCTTGGGTCTGTAGACCTGCCTCACAGCTTTATTTTCCAGAGGTAGGAAGTATATGAGACTGATTATAAGTAGAGACTTTATTAAAAATCTATTTATTTTGTTTTCTAGCTAATTGTAAAGTCTGCTTTGTGGCACTGATCCAGTCCTTCAGTCACTACAATATCGTGGGACAGAAGTTGGTAAATATTGTAGAGCTCCATGGTGCGGAGTATGTGGGTCATGCAGGTGTGAGTGGAGCCGGGGCTGGGCTCCCCTATTGGGGCTGTAGAGAACTCAGCAAGGGAGGGACTGAGTCAATCATGGAGTCCTGAAACCCTTATGTGAAAGGCTAAGGCAGGGGCGCCTGGGTGGCTCAGTCGGTTGAGCATCCGACTTCAGCTCAGGTCATGATCTTGCCGTTCGTGGGTTCGAGCCCTACCTCGGGCTCTGTGCTGACAGCTAGCTCAGAGCCTGGAGGCTGCTTCAGATTCTGTGTCTCCCTCTCTCTCTGACCCTCCTCTGCTCATGCTATCTCTCAGAAATAAATAAAACATTGAAAAAAAAATGAAAGGCTAAGGCAGCATCTCAACCTGTTTTACTCATTTAGAGCTTATAGAACCAAATTAGTTGTTAATTAGTCAAACCTAGCTCTGCTGACACTGGACCAGTTAAGATTTTCTCCTTACTGTGAGCTTTAATCATAGTCCTGCTGAGTTGGAGACCACAGCTTGGTCTGCCATCAAATTGAGTGCCTCCTACTGTCTCTCCCTAAGTCTACGGCTTAGGACCCAAAGGTGGAGAGAAGTGTTTTTGTGACCTGCTCCTTACCTCATCTCAGCCTGCCCTTCATTTTATCAGATGTAGGCAGGCAAGAGTAAGATGGCCAAGAGTCTGGTGAACCTTCTGGCCTAGCTTAGGCCATCACCTATGACCTGTGATGAGGTGAGCTTACTGGTTTTTGTTTGTTTGTTTTGTTTTTATTTATTATTATTTAAACAAAAATTTTTAAAGTTTTTATTTATTTATTTTTGAGAAAGAGACGGAGAGAACAGGGGAGGGGCAGAGAGACAAAGGCAGAGAGAGAGAACCCCGAGCAGGCTCCGCACTGTCGGCGCAGAGCCTGATGTGGGACTCGAACTTACGAACCATGAGATCATGACCTCAGCCGAAACCAGGAGTCAGACGCTTAACCAACTGAGCCACCCAGGCACCTCTTGTTTTGTTTTTAATTTTTCTTAATTTATTTATTTCTGAGAGAGAGACTGCATGAGCAGGGGAGGGTCAGAGAGAGAGGGAGATACAAAATCCGAAGCAGGCACCAGGCTCTGAGGTTAGCTGTCAGCACAGAGCCCGACACAGGGCTCAAACCCACCAACCGTGAGATCATGACCTGAGCCGAAGTCGGATGCTTAACCGACTGAGCCACTCAGGTGCCCCTCTTGTTTTGATTTTAATAGGCCGGCCTCAGAGACGGAAAGAACCAGGCCACCCATTAGCAGTGACCATTGAAATACTAGTCTTCCTATTGGGCCATGACACTGCCTGATGTCACTGATGGGGAGAAACAATTGAGAGAATGGGAAGAGGGTAGACTCTTTCCCATCCTTTGCAGAGAAGGAGGAGTTCCTGCCAGAGCATGAGCTCAGGGAGAGCAGTCATGCCAAGAACACACGTTGCATTCCAGGTCTATGAACCATGTCCCTGTGGCCCTAGCATCAGTGTCTCTGGATGAGAAAGCTGTATACTCATGTTCGGATTGGCTCCTTTTTCTGTTACCTTTGAATCATCATCAGCACAGCAGGAATGGCACACATGGTACTGGGCACATGAAGTCCCTGAGCGTGAGCCTCCCTACTCTTGGTGTATTGTTGAACTGCCATTGGTAGAATGGTCATGAGCAAGAGCAAAGGTGAACAGGAGTCTTTCTGCCAGGAGTGGCTGTGGAGCTACTGGTGCTGCATAGTGGAGGACACTGGGGTATAAATGAGCAATTGAGTCTAGGGGCATGAGGAGTCTAAAGAGTTCCATGTGACCTATTCTGCACAGAGAGCAGTGAGTTGCAGATTTAGATTGTGTCTCTACTTGGGTGTTTGTTGAAATGCAGATTCTTGGGCCTTGTCTGCAGAGCTTCTGGTTCTGGAGGTTTGGAGCGGCGCTCAAGGATCTGCATTTTAACTGGGTGTCTCACAAGAGTCTTAATTGGGTAGTTGATGAAGAGCCATATTGAGAAGTTCTGGCCTAGAGGCGCCTAGTGGCACAGTTGGTTAAGTGTCAGACTCTTGGTTTCAGCCCAGGTCATGATCTCACAATTTGTGAGATTGAGCCCCGCATCAGGCTCTGTGCTGACGGTGTGCAGCCCGCTTGGGATTCTCTCTCTCACCCTCTCTCTGTGCCCCTCCCCTGTTCATGCATTCTCTCAAAATAAATAAACTTTAAAGATTTTCTAGAAAATAAATAAATAAACATAATATAAAAGCTCTAGTCTAGAGCAGGGCTAGACAGACCGCAGCCACTGCCATTTGTTTATGAATCCTCTGTGGCTGCTCTCACTCCACAGAGGAGAGTATTGCAGCATAGATTGTATGATCTGCAAAACCTGTCTTGCTCTTTGCAGAAAACGTTTGCTGAGCTCTGAACTAGTGTATCAAGAGCTCATATTATCCTAACTCATGGGAGTGCTTCCTCAGAGGAAGAGGGAAGAGAAGGAGAACTTGCTGGTAATGAGGTCTTCCTGTGTTCTAGGCAGCCTGGCAGCTAGAATCTGTGTTGGGTTATGTGAAAGCCCCAGAGCAACTCTGAGGTCCCGGGCCACTGATGTGTAAACAAGAGGGTTTGTGAAATTCAAAGCCAAAATCTGGCCCTCTTTCCTCTACCAGCATTTTTCAGACCTTGGTCATTTTCCCACCATCTTATTGTCATTATTATTGTTTGTAAATGTGCTTAATTTTATAAATGTGTGTGTTTATAATACTACTGCAGATTAAAACCAAGTATTGAGTAATTCTAAAAATGAACATATAAGCAAAAATGTCAGTTTTTTATTTTTTTATTTTTTTATTTTTTTTTTTTTTTTTTTACAAATAGTTTATTGTCAAATTAGTTTCTACATAACACTCAGTGCTCATCCCCAAAGTGCCCTCCTTCATGCCCATCCCCCCCCCCCCCCCACATCCATCAGTCCTCAGTTTTTGTCAGCATTCAAGAGTCTCTCATGGTTTGCCTCTCTCCCTTTCCCCCACCATTTCCGCCCTTCTTCTCCCCCTTGGTCCTCCGTCAAGTTCCTCCTAATCCTCCTATACGTGCAAACATATGGTATTTGTCCTTCTCTGCCTGACTTATTTCGCTCAGCATAACACCCTCAAGGTCCATCCATGTTGCTACACATGGCCAGATTTCATTGTTTCTCATTGCCATGTAGTATTCCATGGTATAGATAAACCACATCTTCTTGATCCATTCATCTGTTGATGGACACTTAGGCTCTTTCCATGTTTTAGCTATTGTGGAGAGTGCTGCTATGAACATTGGGGTCCATGTGCTCCTATGCCTCAGCATTTCTGTATCCCTTGGGTAAATTCCTAGCAGTGCTATTGCTGGGTCATAAGGGAGTTCTATTGTTAGTTTCCTGAGGAACCTCCACACTGTTTTCCAGAGGGGCTGTACCAGTTTACATTCCCACCAACAGTGCAGGAGGGTGCCTAGATGCTGGCGAGGATGTGGAAAAATGTCAGTTTTTTAAAAAGTGATGAATGTAGAGGTTCACCTCAAAACCATGAGGATTGTGGGTTGGGAACACGCAGTGGAAAGAAGGCATGGGCCCCATACAAGGTGGACAGGTACACATTCTAAGCAGGGCTTAGAATGTGTCCTGTACACTTTAGTGAGCTGGAGTCTAGCCTCTGTGAGGGGTTCCCCTGCAGGGCACCATAATTCACTCTCCTCTGTGTTGTGTTTAGGGTGTCAGCCTGACTGCGGCACGGGAGTGCGGGCAGCTTGTGTTCCTAGAAGGTCTTAAGTCTTCAGTGGATGTTTTCTTTCGGACTCAGGCCGAGCCACACCCCTTGCAGTTCCTCAGGTCAGTTAGCCTGCAGCCTGGCCCAGAAGTGCATGCCTGGCAGGTGGGCCCAGACCAGGTTTGCTGGGTGATTCCTCCGGTGTGTGGGTGGGAGGACAGAGCTGGCTTTAGGAGGTGGCCACTTCCCTGGTGTTGCAGCATTATCGGAAAGCCCTTGCTTTTACCACTTTTACCACGGGCCAGAGGATATATGGCTGACGCAGAAGCCACAGAAAGTGTTATCTGCTGGGAGTATGGCAGAATAGTATGTTTTTCTAGCCCTCGCTCAGAGCCCTAGCACACACCTTTATTCTGGTTTTGGGTCGATACAAGGGTTGGCACACTATGGGCCATGGGCCAGCTACCTGTTTTTTTAAATAAAGTTTTATTGGAATAGCTGCATTCATTTGTTCACATGTCGTCCCTGTCTGTTCTGCGCTCCCACAGCACAGTTGAGTAGTTGAGACAGAGACCATATGACCCACAAGCCTAGGATATTACTATTGGCCTTTTAAGAAAAAGTTTGTTGATCCTGGTTTGCTATTTTGAGATTGGCTTTCCTGTTTCTTGTCCCTTATGAGTCTTAGCTACAAATATAGCTCTGTGCAGACTCTCCACCTGGCTGCTGTTCTTCCTTCACCACAGAGGAGTCCGTATGGGAACGCTCCCTGCTGCCCCCTCTCAGATGCCACTTTTTGCAGTGGCTGAAAGGCATTGTGGAGTCAGAAGGCCCTGTGCCCCGACCCTGTGTGTGTGATCTCACACACACAGCTTTTAGGATCTCTGAACCTGGGTGCCTTCGTCTGAATGATGGGCCTGCTGACACCTGAACCCGGTTGTGGGAAGTTGTTGTCTTTGCTGTTCGAGGGGCACAGACCAGGAGTGCAGGCAGGTGCCTGGGCCCTGTACTCTGTACGTTTTGAGCCTCTGTTGCTGGGAGGTGACTGCCAAGGGTAGTCATTGGGGAGGTGGAGGTAGCTGGGCCAGCTTCTTCAGAAATAGGTGTAATCTGTTAGGTACCCAAACAGGCCTTAGACCTTGGCCCCTCACCGCCAGGTCACCTAAATTGCTATTCAGCTGTTTGTACCCATTATGACCTCTTGGGAAGACCTCTCCTGCTGCCTAATCCAAATTAATCTTCCAATACCTTAAGCTTTTGGGTTGAGGGGCTGCACGATGTCTTTTAAGGGCCCAAGAGGCTGTTTATTTTTGTGTACCCAGTTTCTAGCACAGTGCTTTGTACCTACTAGGCTTCAAAGAATATTTGAAGTACAGCTTGCTTGTGTATGCACGCATGCCTTTTCTTCCCAACCAGATCAGGAACCCCTTAGTGCCGAGAACTGTGACCTAGTTCTCTGCCTCCCCCCAGCCCTTTCCTGTGGTGCTACTTGGTTCCAGGTAAACATTTGTCGACAGAGTAAACTCTCGGGTGACTCTTGCTTGATGTTCCAGGGAGGCCAATGCTGAGAACCTGCAGCCACTGTATGAGTTTGTGAGGGAGGCTCTGAAGCCTGCAGATGATGGAGAGGCTGCGTGGAGGTGCCCGGTGCTGCTGGTGGACGACCTCAGTGTGCTGCTGAGCCTGGGCATGGGGGCAGTGGCTGTGTTGGACTTCATCCATTACTGCAGGGCCACCGTGTGCTGGGAATGGAAGGTACCTGTCCACAGGCTCTCCGTGTTCCTGCCTGTGACCTCCATGGGCCCAGACAGGCCCACCTCTTCCTTGCTTGCAGTGATCTTTTTTGTTTATTTGCTTAGGGGTTTGGCTTTTTCCTGGTAGGCCCAGAAATCTTTAGGTCTGCCATCCTTCCCTCCCCTACTTGCCACTGCTAAAAAAAATAAAGCCCTCAAATTAAAAAGTTGACCAGTACTGTATGGAACAGGGCCAGTCGTGTGTGGTACTGCAGCAGCCCTAACTCTGCCATCCATTCCCTTGTGTCCTGGGACAAGTCATTATCACTCTGGGTGTGTTTTGAAGATCAGTTGACATTTAAACTGCATTAAAAATTGTGAAATGCAGTACAAGTATAGGATGTAACTTTTACTGTCAAATTATGAGGCAAAAATGGGGATTTTACCATAATAGTTAAACAATGATGGTAGACTCGCCTTGCAGGCACCCAGCTGCAAGACTTAAGTGACATGAAGCTTGCAACACTCCCACACAGCGTCTGGTTCACAGTGCCCGCTCTTCAACGTGCAGTGGCGCCGCTGGGAGGGACCTGCGGCCCTCAGCACAGTGTGGTCAGACCAAGGGTGCTAGGCGGCGGTTGGGGTGAGCCAGTGGAGTCGGCTGGGGAGCATATAGCCAGCACCCCATGCTGAGTACCTCCCATGTGCAAGAGCCTCCTTGGCAGCTGTGTTTAGGAGAGCTCCTGGGGCTGTGTGGCTACACTCACAGGGCTGGGAACCAGGTGATGGGGAGAGAATGGGAGGAGGAGGGAGTGGAAAGGGTGTGGAGGGCATGGCTCAGCAACAGTGAATTGGCCACAGTTCCTACAGCTTAGCCTGCTTTGTGGCCCACTACCACCCTCATTTGGTAAAAATATCTTTACTAGCTGAAAAAGCAAAATGGGAATAGTTCAAAAAAGAAAAAATAAGTAGCATAAAGAATACTTTAGTGAAAAGTAATGATTTCTTTCCTAATATGTATATTCTGCCGTGTGCATTCAATTATGAACATGTTTTATGTGTATGTGTCTCTCTGCATTTTTCTTCACGTTACTGGTAGCCTGCCTTGCACACTGTGTGGCACTGTTTTCTCATTTCATAATGCACGGTGTATTTTGGTGTCCATTGCCCAAAACCAGAACAGACAGATCTGCTTCATTGTTTTTAACAATTGGACAGTATTCCTTTGAAAGGACTTATTCAAGGTGTCTCCTTCAGTGGGTTGGCCTTCCCCTCCAGTTCTGGTTGGCTAACTCCTATTTGCCCTTCTGACTCAGCTCAGGCGTGTACACCTCCTCACCCTCTCCTCCGGGCCAGACATGATGCCTCTTCCCTGAGCTACCCTAGCCACCCGTGCTCCCCTTTCTCCTGGCTTTGTATCCTGTGTTGTGAGTATCTTTCTGTCTCCAGGGCCCACACCACTCTCTTATCCTCACTGTGGGGTGTGACACATGCTCTGCACTCAGAAACTGTTGACTAGATGAATGGGTGCCCAGCAGAAAGGTGGTGCTTCTTGCTAACGTTGAGGACCACAGGCTGAGCAGAGCTTGGTTTAAGAGGGATTGAGCTGGCAGTATGGGTTGGATGTGCTGGTGAGACTGTCCAGCAGGTGGTTGGAATTAGGGTCCCAGAGCACAGCAAGGGATGGTTGCAGCAGCGGCCAGAGGCTGCACTGGGTGAAGACATGCAGGGGAGTGGAGGCCCAGAAAGCCCATTGCTCCCTGGTGGCCCTGCCTGGAGGAAAGGTTTTCATCTTCGATCTCTGTTGCAGGGAAACATAGTGGCCCTGGTGCACGACAGTGGAGACACCGAGGACGAGGAGAACAACATCCTTTTGAACAGCCTTAGTCACCAGAGCCACCTGATCCTGCGGGCCGAGGGGCTGGCCACAGGCTTCTGCAGGGACGTGCATGGGCAGGTGCGCAGGGGCTCCCAGGGCAATGGCTGCCTGCCTCTGTGCCTGAGCCTGGACTGTGTGTGGGATAGTTTCGGGCCCTGGGGGTTGTCTGGTTGGGGCATTCCTCTGGTGGAAGGAAAACCTCAGAAGTTGTGAGAATGCAAGTCAGAGTCTGTTCCAGATGGTGCTGGCCTCATGCACCTATGCAGGTGTTCCATGGTGGTCCCGTTTGTGACTAAAGTGGAGCTCCTAAAAAGGAGACCATCTTCTGGAACAGAATGCAGGGGCCCTGCTATGAATGCCTCTGCAGGACCACAGCAGGCTTTGTATACTCAGGTCAATGCTGTTCCTTTTATTTTTTATTTCACTTTTATTTATTTGTTTGATGTTTATTTATTTTGAGAGAGAGAGAGAGTAGGTATTTGGGTGAGGGCAGAGAGAGGAAGAGAAGAGCAAATCCCAGGTAGGCACCTCCTTATCAGCATGGAGCCCAATGTGGGGCTTGAACTCATGAACCTCAAGATCATGACCTGAGCTGAATTCAGACACTTAACCAACTGAGCCACCCAGGTGCCCCAATGCTGCTCCTTTTAAAATACAAACGTGGGGGCACCTGGGTGGCTCAGTTGGTTAAGCGTCCAACTTTGGCTCAGGTCATGATCTCAGAGTTTGTGAATTCAGGCCCCAGTAGCCTGCTTCAGATTCTGTGTCTCCCTCTCTCTCTGTGCCTCCCCTGCTTACACTCTGTTTCTCTCTCTAAAAAATAAATAAAGTAAACATGTGGGGGTACTGTACGCATGGCTGGGGTTGTTGCTGCCTCCACTGTTGACTCTGACCAGAATATCTGAGAACTCAGGCAGAAGCCGAGATTCCTGCCTTAGAGGAAGTTCAGGTTCTACCCATCCCAAGGGGCTACCACGCTTCTGTGCCTTCTGAAACTTGTTTTTTTTTTTTTTAATGTATAATTTATTTTGAGAGAGAGAAAATGGGAGCAGGGGAGGGACAGAGACAGTGGAAGAGAGAGAATCTCAAGCAGGCTCTGTGCTATCAGCACAGACCCCAATGTGAGGCTTGATCCCATGAACTGTGAGATCATGACCTGAGCCAAAATCCAGAGTCGGACGCTTAACTGACTGAGTCACCCAGGGGCCCCTGGAACTTCTCTTTTGGAATCATCCTCCCAACTCCCATGGCTTCCAGGTTAACTTGATATTGACCACTCTTGGCCCATTAGGGGTGGGTGGGAGTTTCGCCCCAAAGTCATTCAGGGGTAGGTGTAGAAAAGAAAACAAAGGCACAAGCTCAGAAATGCTGTGTTGGTGGTGTCCGTGTGCACAGCCTGAGGGGAGGGTCCTGCCAGGCAGCCTGTGGCCTGGCTCTGAGGCCAGCTCCCCAAGCAGTCTAGCACGTCTGGCAGTGAGATATCCTCAGAATAAACGTCTAGCCTTCCTGAGCCTCTGAATTGAATGTACTGATTTTAATGAGTTGATTTTCCCAGTTATTATAGCCAACAGATACAAAACCATGCATAGAAGAGAGCAAAAGGGAACACAAAAATACTTAAATGCTTTTTCTCTGGGTGGCTTTTTTTTCTTTTTCTTTTTCTTTCACACTTTTTGTGATGAGCAAATATCACTACTGTAATGAAGAGGAACCTTCAGTTCTAGTTAGCTGGTAATAAGCTTCGTTTTGGAAGCCACCCAGGCTGCGTGGCACATGCCTGTGACCTCACTTAGGGGCCTCGGTGGCAGGTTAACAGAGGAGGCCGGTAGGGTTCACAGTGGACCAGATACTTAGGAGCTGCTTCTCTCTCATTCTTGCCGTCACTGTAGCTAAGGATCCTCTGGAGGACACCATCACAGCCCACAGCCCAGCGAGATCGGAGCCTCACTTACCAGTACAAGATCCAGGACAAGAGCGTGTCCTTTTTTGCCAAAGGAATGTCTCCTGCTGTTCTATGACCTGATTGAGGGGCAAATGTAGCTACCTTGGACTGCTTTCAGATGTGAAAGATAAAGCAACGAGTAGGAGTGGATCTGCACGCCTTTGAAGTGGTGTTTCGGCCTGGATTGGGAGCTCCACTGTGACCTGGTGCAGTGGAATGGCGCTGTGATGGTACGCCTTTGTTCTCCTGGGCCCTGCACATAAGAAATCACAACCCAGCCTCTGCTGAGAGAGATGCCACATATTGAAACCGGGTGACAGTCATCCCGGGAGCCTTTCATTAAATACACTTTAGCCTCAACTGCCCGTTTTTGGCTGTCATGCCTTTCAGGGCCAGAGCAGGTATGAATGTGTCAGCCAGGGCACAGTCCTGGATGGCAGGCATTCAGGTGACAACTTGGATAATTACGGCTGTAGTAGGGAGTCCTACATCATGGCTTCCTCATGATGGATTGTCTCATTTTTCACCTTCATCCAGCAAAGGTGTTTTCCCTTTAGTTCAGTAAGAAAACCAGCCTAAAGAGGTTTGGAAGGATGCTCATAGTTATAGAGAAGGCTGTAGATAGCGGAGCCTGACTCTGAAGTCCGCACTTGCTGACTGACCCCATGGAACCCAGGGGCAGGCTCCCCATCCAGTTCACAGCCTCACTTCCTCCTGGGTGTGTGGTCCCTGGCCCAGGTGCTCATGAAACCACAGCCTTGGTCACGTGAGGCTTCATGGCTTTGGTGAGAGGTAAGGAGTGTTCTTGCCACCGGGCGGGATGGGGCATTGGCAAGTTGCTGCCTCCCTCACCTGTGAAGACTGAAGAGGTGAGCTCTTGCCCCTGCGTCCCACAGATGCCAGCTTGTCACCCTCAGCCCATCTGTCAGGATCACCTCAGGAGGCACTGAGGGTATTCCCTCAAACTGGGTACATTGTGTTGTTGTACCACAATGAATTTGCTTTTAAAACCAAATAAAATGAAAAAAGAAAATAACACTGCAGGGACTAAAGAAATTTCATACCTGTTGTTTAATTGTAACTTTTTCACATTTTGTAGTCTTCATAAGAGGAAACAACTTCTCACTCCTCCCCTCAGATTATACTATTGTGTTGGTTACCCCACTGATAACCAGTAATAGTAGCTGCTTTTCTTCCCAAAATATTGCAGGCCAGGTAGAATATTTGAAAATTGTGAATGTAACTAACCTAAGGGAAAGTGGTTACTGAAGAATCTAATGATTTTTTTTATTAGTACTTCAATATTTATGTCAGCTTCACATGAGCTACAGTTCTGAATGGGCAAGACACCACGAAACATCTCTTAGGGTATGAATGTTGTGTTATGTTTCTCCACTTAATTTATAATTGAGTTTACTAAATTCTTAATGTTGAATGCCTCCTGAACATTTTATGGTGTCATTTTGATTTGCTTAGCTATTCTCTGAGTGTGTAGGCTCTAGGTTTTGTAATTATAAATCATGTTGTTATGAACTTTACATATTATACCTGTTTTGAGGTGGGGGCAAATACTTGTGTCCTTAGAACATTCATTCATTCACTCAACAAATACTGAGCACCTTAAAAAATTTTTTTTCTAAAGTTTATTTTTGAAAGAGAGAGAGCATGTGGGGAAGGGGCAGAGAGAGAAGGAGGCACAGAATCCAAAGCAGGCTTTAGGCTCTGAACTGAGACAGGGCTCAAACTCACCAATGGTAAGATCATGACCTGAGCCGAAGTCGATTGCTTAATCGACTAAGCCACCCAGGTGGGTGACAAATCGACTTTTTAATGTTTTAAAAAAACTAAAAAAAAATTTTTTTTTAATGTTTATTTATTTTGAGGGAGAGCTGGAGCAGGGGAGGGGCAGAGAGAGAATCCCAAGCAGGCTTTGCACCATCAGTGCAGAGCCTTACAGGGGGCTCAGTCTCACAAATCATGAGATCATGACCTGAGCTGAAATCAAGAGTTGGACACTTAACCAACTGAGCGACCCAGGTGTCCCCGGAGCACCTTTTATATGGTAGGCAGCTATGACCATGACAAAGCAGGTCCTTGCCTACACCAAATTGAGATGTAATCTATGTAGAGTTAGATGGTGGTAAGTGCTAAAAATAAAGCAGGGCACCTGACTGGCTCGTTTGGAAGAGCATGTGACTCTTGATCTGAGGGCTGTGAGTTCAAGCCCCACATTGGATGCAGAGACAAAACAAAAAACAAACAAACAAAAAAACACCAAAAAACCCCAACTTGAAACAATAAGAAAATAGGGGCCCCTGGGTGGCTCAGTCAAGCATCTGACTTCAGCTCAGTCATGATCTCATGGTTCAGGAGTTCAAGCCCTGCATCAGGCTCCTTGCTGACAGTGCAGTGCCTGCTTGGGATTCTATTCTCTCTCTCTTTCCCTCTTTGTCTTTTCCTTCCCCACTTGCACTTTCTCTCTCTCTCTCTCTGTCTTTCAATATAAATAAACTTAAAAAAAAAAAAAAAAAAAGCAAGGAAAGGGCCTAGGAAAGTGAGGAATAAGGAAATTTTAGTTTTTTCCCTGCAGTGGAATTTCTGAATTAAAGCCTGGATCGCCCTCACATGGTATCAGATTGTTCTTCAGAATGATGGAGCCAGTTAACAGTGATCTCTAAGTTTCCTCCACCAATGTTGGATTTAATTTATTTTTTACTAACTTAATAGTTGTGCAAAGTTTGTAAAAATGGATTTTTCTTTAATAACTAGGATATAATTTTTTCTCTGTATTTTCCCGTGTATCGCAAATATATTCCTCATCCTTTATCACTTATCAATTAGAATGTGGTGTCAACTTTGTTTTCTCAGTACTTTGTAATATTTTGGAAAGGATTTTATCATTGTCTTTGTTCATGTATATTTTTTCTACACTTGGGTTTTTAGAAATACTTTATCTTGGGGCACCTAGTTGGCTCAGTCAGTTTGTGAGTTCTAGCCCTGCATCAGGCTCTGTGCTGACAGCTCAGAGCCTGGAGCCTGCTTCAGATTCTGTGTCTCCCTCTCTCAACCCCTCCCTCATTCATTCTCTCTCTCTCTCTCTCTCTCTCCCTCCCTCCCTCTCCCCTCTCAAAAATAAACATTAAAAAAATTGTTTTCTATGCAGATATGCATTAGTTCAAGTTTTTGTGGAGTTCCTGTTTTATATAAGGGACCCTTAAGATGAAGACAGTCCTAAAGTCACCTGCTGTACTGTGAGAGGCGCTGGGGAACAGGCACTTAAATAACATGCAGCGACAGAGAAGGTGATGAGGGCCACAGAAACAACTCAAGTAGTAGGTGGAGACAGGTTGGTGGTCACAGGAAGGAGTAATTATTTCCCCATCACGTTTTTGTTTTTGTTGTTTTGTTTTTGTTTTGTTGTTGAAGGGAGCAAAGAACTGGGGAAGAATTTATTGAGGCAATACTATTTGAACAAGAACTTGGAATGTTCCTATTTTGTCACTGATAGTACCTGTGTCCTTCAGGATTCAGGAAGGACATTCCTGAATGGAATGAAGGTCCTGTTCTTTGTTGTTGTTTCTAGTTTAAAATAATTTTTAAAAATTCTTTAGAATTTGCTACAGTATATTAATTTGTCTCCCTGCTGATAACTAAATAGCCCAACAGTATTTACAGTATTTACTGAAAAGTAGTGATCCTTTCTCCTTATGTAGTTTGGCTTTATTTATATGTGAAGTTCTTAAAGCTGAGCTTTTCTGAAATTTATCTTTTTTTTTTTAATGTTTATTTTTGAGAGAGCACGCACATACATGTGAGTGGGTGAGGGGCAAAGAGGATGTGAAGTGGGCTCTGGGGCTCAAACTCACAAACTGTGAGATCATAACCTGAGCCAAAGTCAGACCTCAGCTTAACCAACTGAGCCACCAAGGTGCCCCTAAAATTTGTCTTTAATTGATACTGAAAGGTTATCATGTCTGCTCTTGAGAGTCTTTAATAAAAGGATATCATGCCCTCTTGTTTATCCAGATGAATTTCACCAGCACTTTATCAAGCTCTAGGCAGTATTATATAAGGACTTTTTCTCTTGTCTTTAAAATTGTAGTTGTATAACATCATTTAAAAAAACTAGTGAAGAAATTAATACCCTCATATTAAATGTTTTTTTTTATTGTTGACAAAAAAAGATCTAATTTTTGTGGGTTTTTCTGTAGTGTCTTTGACATAGGGATGTAGTTGACTTCTTAAAATTTATAGCTTATCCTACAATCTTTCTAAACTATTCTAATAATTTTCTGATTGAGATTCCTGAATTTTTAGGTATTTTTTCCTGTTTTCCTTTTTTCAGATATTAACATCTGCAAATAATGCCACCCTTGCTTATTTTTCTTTTAAATAGGGAACTTTTTTTTTTAATTGAAGTTGACATACAATATTAGTTTCAGGTGTACAACATAGTGATTCGACAGTTACATACATTCTGAAATATTCACCAGATACAAGTATTGGTAATTAGCATCTGTCACCATACAAAGTTATTACAATATTATTAACTGTATTTCCTATGCCATACTTTGTATCCCTGTGACTTATGTATTTCATAACTGGAAGTTTGTACATCTTAATCTCCATCTATTTTGCCTATCCTCCTACCCCCATCCCCTCTGACAATTATCAGTTCTGTGTAGGGGCGCCTGGGTGGCTTAGTCGGTTGAGCGTCCGACTTTCGCTTAGGTCATGATCTCGCGGTTCGTGGGTTCGAGCCCCGCATCGGGCTCTGTGCTGACTGCCGGCTCAGAGCCTGGAGCCTGTTTCAGTCTTTGACTCCCTCTCTCTCTGACCCTCCCCTGCTCACGCTGTCTCTCTCTCTCTCTCTCTCTCTCCTAGAAATAAATAAAACATTAAAAAAAAAATTTTTTTTTAAATTATCAGTTCTGTGTATTTATGAATCTTTTTTGTTGTTGTTTTTAAGTTCCACATATAAGTAAAGTCATGTGGTATTTGTCTTTCTCTGCCTGACTTATTTCATTTAGCATAATACCCTCTTAGTCTATCGTGTTGTCACCAATGGCAACAGAATCTTTTTTATAACTGAGTAATATTCCATGTGTGTAAGAGAAAGAGAGAGAGTGTAAGACATCTTTATCCATCTATCAATGGACACTTGAGTTGCTTTTATATCTTGGCTCTTGTAAATAATGCTGCTGTAAACATAGGCATGCAGTATCTTTTTGAATTAGTGTTTTTCTTTTCTTTGAGTAAATAACCCACATATAGAATTACAGGGTCATGTAGTATTTCTGTTTTTAATTTTTTGAGGCACCTCCATACTGTTTTCCACAGTGGCTGCATCAATTTATATTCCCGCCTACAGTGTATGGGGTTTCCTTTTTCTCCACATCCTCCCCAGCACTTGTTATTTCTTGTGTTTTTGATTCTAGTCATTCTTACCAATGTGAACTGATAGTTCACTGTAGTTTTGGTTTGCATTTCTTTGATGGTTAATGATGTTGAACAACTTTTCATGTGTCTGCTGGCTTTGTGGATGTCTTCTGAAAAATGCCTATTTGGGTGCCTGGGTGGCTCAGTCAGTTAAGCATCTGCTCTTGACTTTGGCTCAGGTCATGATCTCACAGTTCGTGAGTTCAAGCCTCATGTCAGGCTCTGCACTGAAAGTGTGAAGGCTGTTTGGGATTCTCTCTCTCCCCTTCTCTCTGCCCCTCCCCTGCTCATGTGCTCTATCTCTGTCAAAATAAATAAACTTAAAGAAAAGTGCCTATTTATGTCTTCTGCCCATTTTTTAATTGGATCTTTTTTGGGTGTAGAATTGTATGAATTTTTTATGTATTTGATTTGATTTTTTAATTTTTTAAAAGTTTTTACTTTTGAGAGAGAGAGAGAGAGTGCATACACAAGCAGGGGAGGGGCGGGGGGGGGGAGGGACAAAGGATCTGAAGCGGGCTCTGCGTGCAGAGTAGAGAGCCTGATATGGGGCTCCAACTCGTGAACCATGAGATCATGACCTGAACCGAAAGCGGAGGCCTAACTGACTGAGCCACCCAGGTGCCCCAATTTGATTTTTTTTACGTGGGCGTCACACCCAGCATGGAGCCCAATGTGGGGCTTGAACTCCTGACCCTGAGATTAAGACCTGAGCTGAGATCGAGTGAGACACTTAACTGACTGAGCCACCCAGGTGCCCCCTTTTATGTATTTTAGATATTAATCCCTATCACATATATCATTTGCAAATCTCTTCTCCCATTCAATCAGTTGTCTTTTCATTTTGTTAATGATTTTCTTTGCTGTGCAAAAGTTTTTTAGTTCAACATTGCTCCAGTAGTTGTGAAATTTGTTAAGAGTGATGTGAAGTGGGGCACCTGGGTGGCTCAGTCAGTTAAGTATTTGATTCTTGATCTCAGCTCAGATCACGATCTCATGGTTTGTGAGTTCGAGCCCCTTGTCAGGCTCTGCACTGTTAGTGCAGAGACAGATCTCTGTCTCTGTCCAAATGCTTGGGATTCTGTCTCTCCCTCTCTCTGCCCCTTCCCTACTTGGGCTCACTCAGTCAGTTATGTGTCCAACTCTTGGTTTTGGCTCAAGTCATGATCTCACCATCCTGAGATGAAGCCCTGCATTGGGCTCAGAGGGGAGCTT